CGGCCCCCGGCAGCGGGAGGCGGCGTTGCTGCCGCGCCAGGACCCCTCTGGGCAGCGGTGAGACCCGGGGGCCCGTTCGTAAGAGGCAGAGAGCAAGCCCAAGCCTGACAACGCTGCTGACAGCCTTAACAAAAAGATTTTGGCTTCCTCGGTTGGCGGGATCAGATATGTGGGGCTGTGCAAGTGCACCTGCGTCCACCTTTGCTTCCTAATAATTTATAGTTCATTAACAACCTCAAAATTGCTAGCTTTGCCTGTGATCGTACAGCCCCGCTCTGTTGTTGGGTTGACACGTTCTTTTGTGGGCCTGACACGAAGCTCCGGAGCACCTGTCTGAGCCTGAAGTTTATTCAGAGCCTGCTACGAGGTAGACAGGTTTTGGTTGTGTTATGACAGCAATCTCCTTGTCTTCAGGCCTTTAAATGAGGATCGTTAGATCTTCTACAAGCCAACAAATTACAGTGGAAGCTGTGATTATTTCATACATGTCATCTGCCACGTCAGGGGGGCTGGATGTAACGTGTAATTTTTGGTAAGGTGCTGAGATTTAGGCAAGTGGCAAGCTGTCCCCAGCCTTCCTGCTTCAGTTTCTTGGTGCTGCAGGGAAAATGGAGGGGCTGGCTGCGGGCAACCTGCCTTTCCCAAGGTTGCTCGAGGCGTGCCCCCCCCACTGCTCAGACCCCTTTTTTGGGACTATTCTCCCAGCATGGTGTGGTGTGGCTGGTGGACTTTCAGCTTGTGATGCTGAGGGAGTGAAAGAGAGAATCCCTTGCTGATGAACAATTAAAATATTGTTTATCCTTCGGATTTCTCTGTCACCTTCCTGTTTTTTGGGAGGGGAGAGGGTTGTTGTTCAGGTCAAGACAAGATATCTGGAGACTGTTGCTCAGGAGGGGTTTAAGCAGGTGTTTGTCTTCCCTTCGCAAGTAAATCTGAATTTACGAACCTGTAGGCTGTCTTACCCTACACCGATAGTAAAAAAAGATGAAACGGAGCCAGTAATCTCACCGATGCTTTGATTTTTCAAGTCAAGTTGCTTACTCCTCACTTGGGTAGTGTCCAAATTGTGTCACTCGGCCTCAGCTGCACTTGCAACTGGAGCTCCCAGGAGGGCTGGGGACAATGTGCACAACAGCTAACGAGCATTTTCTGAAAGAGAACAAAACCGGGGGGGGGGGCTGGAGGTGGCCCTCAGGCTGTGCACGAAGGCACGGCTATGCCTGCGTGAAGGGTGGGCTCCGCTGCATGTCTTGGGTCAGGACTGACTGGCAGAGCATGTCGGTGTGCTTGGTGGTCCTCGTTGCCTCAGATGGGAATACTGTGTCCCAGCAGCGTGCCCAGGAGCTGAACACCATCCCGTTTTGTTGATTGTTTCAAAGCTGATGGCGACAAACCCGATTTCGCGTGCGGAGCGCCGATGCCTTCGCCGCTCTTTGAAGCAGTGGTGGAGGGGCTGAAGTGTTCATGACCCCCCGATGCACTCACCTTAATGCTCGTGCTATTGATGAAGGATTATCCGTGTAGCTGAAGTGTGCTCCCCAGCTCTTCGTCAGAGAGCGAGGATGGCTGTGTGCTGCACTCTTAGACGGACGTGGTGGGGTTAATCCAGACCATGGGTTGGGTCAGCAAAGAGCTTCCCCAAGTGCTCAGGAAATATCAAGAGGGGAGCCGGTTAGTCTGGTACAGGAGTAAAACTAGGTGGAGGAGAGGAGCTGAAAGTCAGGGAGACCTTGACACTAGGTTCACTTAAGGCATGGAGAGTCTTCTGAAGGGAGCTTTTGGAAGTCTCATAATATCTTTGAGGATAAAACCTCATTTAGTGCCAGCAGCTGGACTCATGCATGAACACACAGGCCCAGTTTGTCCCTTTCCAAGGACCTAGCTTTGAGGTTTTTAAAAGTTTTGTAACTGCTGTGGTTGAAGAGGGAGTTTCAAAATCTGTCAGATGTAAATGGCTGCTGTGCCATCTCCCTGAATCTGCACCCCCCTGCCCTGGGAACGGGCTGCCGGGAGTGTAAGGGACTGTTTGCCGGTTTTGGTGCAGATAGCAGAGCTTTTGGCAGGAGTAGAGGTAACGTACAGAGGTACTGTGTGCGGGCAGGGTGACAGGTGAGCACCGGGATCATTCAGGCTGGGGTGCCCTGACCCCAGAAATGGCTGGATGAGGAGAGGGCACATCACCATCCCTCTACCTGGGTGCAGCCCGGAGACCTCTGTCTGGAAACCTCCTTTTATCCAAGGGGCTCAAGTCACTGGAGAGCTGTTGGTACAAAATCAATACCAAAGCTGGTCTCCACCATTTCCTCACAAAGGTGTAAATTCTTAGCCTGATGGGGAAGCAAAGTTGATGTCTGCTTTATTTCCATTTCTCGTGTCTCCTGCTACATAAGTTGCAGTCTGCCCATCATTTATGGCTTAAGAGGCTGGGCAGAAGAAGGCTCCAACGTGTTCTTCAGGGTTGAATTCCTCTGCATTAGGGAGCTGAAATGATTTAACAAGTATTTATGCTCTTGTTCAACGGTTGTCTCACTGTACGCAGAGCTGGAGATAGCAAAGTGGAGATCCTGGCCCCAGCCAGTGGTGCTGAGTGTGCTGGATGCTGGCGGCACCTGTAAGGCCATCTGCAAAAAGCGCTGGGAGAGCGTTGATTGCGACAGATGACGAACGGTATTGCAGCTCTTCGCTCTTTGCAATGATAACTTTGAAGTGACTTTTGAAGGGTTGCTGGAAGCATTTTTTTTTTCAGTGAGCAGATTAGAGATAAGAGAAGAATTCCACCCTGTGGGGCACGAGCAGTTCAATCCATACCAACGTGATGGAGAGGGAAATTGAAGAGAGCTTATCAGCTTGAGGAAAAAATCAAATGTAAACATCATCCCCAGCATGATTATGGTTCACAGCTTAGTTGGATGTCACATGCCTCTTTCCTGTGAAATGGTGCTAGCGAAGATGATTACAGAGGGAGTCAGCTAGGCAAAAACAGACAGAAAAACACCCTGTGCCTTGAACTTTTAAAGACCCTGCAGTTACTTCACAGTCAATAAGTCACAGCTCAGCTGCAGGGAAGGAGGAAGGCAGTGAAAATAGAATTCAGGCTGCTCTGGCAAATTAATTGTCCTTTAAGATATGAAATGGCTGGAAATGAATAGGGAAGCTGGGATTATGGGTTCTGGGGGCTGCAAAGGGCAGCGTTTGTGCAGCAGGGAGATGTGGGCACTGCCCGAAGGACACTGAGCCTCTCTGTATCGGTGTCAGGACAGGCTGGAGAATGAATCCCCAAGAACCCGGGACAAAGGATGATTAATCTAATTTTCATTAACTAGCATTTGGCATTGACCTGTATATGACAGCCTGTTACACCACTGCTGGATCTGCGTCTGGCAAAGCTGCTGCCACCGTGTCCCACTTGGGAAGGTCGCTGGGCCTCTCCAGAAGGGCTCCTCAGGGAATGACCTGAGTGGATTTAGTATGAGCAGTGTGTAATTTAGGAACGATTATTGAAGTGATTCACTGACATGACCATTATGGGCTCTCGCCAGATGCACAGTCTTATTAAATATGATTTTCCCATATAAGGTGGTTGCAGCCTGAAAGCAGCAGCAGGAATTCCAGTGCTCGCTTTCTTCATGAACACGTCTTTCAGTCACAGCCAGTTGAGTCCAGAAACAGGTCTGCCACGGCTGTGCAGCACCCTGACAGAGGCTTGGAGAGCCCTTCTCATTGCATGCTGCTTACATCTTTGTCATGTTTGATTATTCCCATTCATCTTTTAGGGCTGCCAAGCATATTCCTGTAGACCAGGATTAATCTGTAGAGGCCTGGCAGGTGCCTTACTCCCAACATGGATGTGTGGTACCTGCTGCATCTGGGACCTTCCCAGCAGGAGATCAGTTCCTGTCTGTGCGTATGAGAACTGCAGGCATTCCATGGGCATAATTAACTTGCAACTCACAAGTCGGAAAACGTTGAACCTTTTGCACTGTACTGGGGAATGTCAGAAGCAGAGTTGGAGGGGGAAATGTTTGCGAATTCCCAGTGCAAGGAGGGTTTGGCTGTGTTTAGGTGGGAGTGACCTTCAGCAGACTGGTTCACACGCTCTGCTCCCACCAACAGCGCGCGGACAGAGCTGCTGCTCATGTTGCTCGTGGGAGATGCTCCCTCTTGTAGCCTGGCTGTGGGAAGGCAGGAGCCAAAGTGGGTCCTGGCCTCCTCAGATGGTCTGATCCCATGGGTGTGCTCTCTCAGATCTCCCTCAGAGCCTGTGGTGCTGAGGAGCTGACAGGAGCAGTGGGTATCAGAGCAGGCTGCTGGTTTTGGGGCATGCTCTCTAGACCCTGGAAAGTTTAAACTGGAGGCCTTGGTGCCTCCTTTTCTCAAAGATGTGTCTGCAGGGAGAGGAGTGACTCTGTATGTTTGAACTCATAAATATCAGCAGAACAGTAGAAGAAAGCCTAGATGGGGGTTTTTGTTTCACATTGTCTTTCCAGGTGTCTAACCAAAATTTCTGATAGTACCCTTTAAACTTAATTTGTTTAATAACCCAGCTGACAGTATCACTCTCCCAAGCTGTTGCCTTCCAGGCCTGCAAGCTGAGTCACCTCGTGAATGTGCCCAAGAACAGAAATTCTTACTCACATCAGACTGGACGTCCGTGATCATGTCCATGGGGCCAGGCAGAAGATATTTTTAAAGCATTATGCAGGTGCAAAGCCCTAGCTGTTTGGTGTGGGTTCCCAGTAAGTAGCTACTGTTGGGGCAGTGCTGTGTGGTATTTCGCCATTTTTAAATCCATCTGTGGCTGGTGCAGAAACTCAAAGGAGCAAAATATTGTAATTTTCTATAAGTCTTCAGCAAAGCAGAAATCCTGGCACAAGTGCCCTCTCTGTGTTTGCTGCTTACTGATGGTGCACCACTCTGTCCAACAAGCAAGTGCAGCCACCTAT